CCCCCGCGTTCAGGTTGGATCAACGGAATGGAGAACAGCACGCAAGCCAGCACTTCTGTCGAGAAAAGAAATCACCATTGGAGAAGTTACAAGTTGATTATTGACCCGGCTCTGAAAAAAGGACAGCACAAACTCTACCGTTACGATGGGCAACATTTCAGCATGCCTGTGAGTGGGGGGCTCCCGGGTTTCCCCCATTGTGTCGTGTCTCCCCTGCCAGCCTCTGTCTTACCGGCGTTTTGGGGGCTGGGGGTCCCTCCGGGTCGTGGTGATCCTCGGCATAGCGCTTGTGTGTGGGAGGGGGGTCCTGGGGGGGGACACGCACAGCCACCAAAGTTACAGCCACCTGACACTGTGTGTTCAACTGTCAGGAGCCCAAACCTGCGGCTTTTTTCCTGTGTTTCCAATCTGTGTGCATTTCCCAGCAGTATTGCAATTTGACACGTGTGTGTATGTGTGTGTGTGCGCTTTCCCCTTCCCTTGAGACAGCCCGTGCTTCCTCGGGGTTTATTTTTTCTTTTATTTTTGTCTTCAATTTCAAGTCTTGTTATTGCTGTTTCTATGTTTTCTCTCCTCCTCTTCCTCCTCCTCCTTCTCCCAGAACTCGGGGATCGCTCCTGTGGATTGTGTCAGGGATCCCAGAATAGGGCGAATATGGACCAAAACTAAGGAGTTGGAGCTGTCTGTCCCCAAATTCAAGGTACTGCCCTGACTTTTGGTGTTACCTCTGGAAACTTGTTTATCTGGGAGTGAAGCCTGAGTTCCAAATAGTTTAATGGACCGTTTAAATGACAGTCATATTTCTATTAACATTGTTATTTAGCAAACTGTTTAACAATAATCCTCTTCGATGAGGATAACAAGAAATCAATGCCTCTGTCTGGCGAGATCACTTGAAGGTTTTGGAGCTGGGGCTCCTGGGCCAGGGGGCAGTGGGGGGGGGGCTCTCTGCTGACAGCACTGCTCAAAATGCAGCTTTGTAGCCCAGAAAGGAGCCGGTTCCAATGAATGGCTGCAGCGGCACAGCCTCTGCTCGGCTCCGAGGTTCACCCAGAGCCTTGAAGGTTTTTTTTGCCCCCCAAAGTTTGCAGGATGCTTTAACCCCCTCCCTCCCGTGCCATCCTTAGGCTCCTCCCCCAAGCTCATTAACAATGCCGATTATTTTGATCGTTCCCCACCTTGTGCCCGTTTCCAGATTGATGAATTTTACGTGGGGCCAGTGCCTCCCAAGCAGGTCACCTTTGCCAAGCTGAACGACAACATCCGTGAAAACTTTTTGGCCGACATGTGCAAGAAATACGGCGAAGTGGAAGAGGTGGAGATTCTCTACAACCCCAAGAACAAGAAGCACCTGGGCATTGCCAAAGTCATCTTTGCCACTGTCAAGGGTGCCCGGGAGGCTGTGCAGCACCTTCACAACACTTCTGTCATGGGCAACATCATCCACGTGGAGCTGGATACAAAAGGTGAGGGGGGCACGTTTGGGCCTCGTGTTTGGGGTTTGCAGAGCCCCTGTCTGTCCCACTCCCAGCACCGAGGCTGTTGCAGAGGGCAGGGACCTGGTGATTAAAAATACGAAGGGAGCCGGCAGCGGGTCTGGTGTCTGGGGCCTGGGCGAGTCACGTGGAGCCAAATGTGTTGTCTGTTGCTAAGAGACAGCCCTGTAATTTGCAAAATGCTGCCATCCTGCCTGTCCCCTGCCCGTCCCTGCCCCTGCTCGCTGCCCTCTCGTGTCCCCCATCTCCCTGCCCCAGGCTCGTCCCTCTCAGCCACCTGCCAGGGCTGCTGGACCCGGTGGCACCTGCGTTTTGCAAACTTGGCCTTTTTGGGCAAGTCCTGGTGGTTCCTGGGACCCAGATCTGTGGGTTCTGGTGGCAGCAGCGGGGCTGGGTGCTGTGCCCTGCGTGCCTGGCATTTCATTGATACTTTGAGCGGGCTGGGGGCTGGCACAGCAGAGTGCACACGCAGCACTGCCAGGGTGTGCGAGTGTACAAGTGTGAGACTGGCTCTTAAAGCGACAGCAGCTCCCTGTGCTGCAGGAGCCAGCTGCCAGCCCCACTCCCGAGCCCTCAAAGCCCCAGAAAGTTCCTGAAAATGTGAAGGCATTGCATTGGGTCAGTTCTCTCTCCTCCAAGCATGCTAGTGAAAGGGCTTTCTAAAATCTGCCTGAATTTTAGAAAATGTCTAAGACTGAGGAGGTGTGGATCAGTTGCTGATTGTATTTCTGCATTCTAAAGGTAGCATTTCTAGTTTAAAACTGGCTTGCTGCACTCTTTCTTGGGAAAAAGACATTGCTAACACCATTTTCTTAAAATGCTGATATTTTTGTTCTGTATTTAAAGGTTTCAACAGTTCAATGCACAGCCAACACAGCAGTTGGTGTGCCACATGTGATAGAGTAGAACAGGATGTTTATTGACATTACTGACCACTGTTAGAAGAAAAATCACAGTAGCAGTTTAATATTTTCTGTTGGGAGCTAGGCTTGACCTTACATGTGTATACTTTGAAATTCTAGTATCAATAATTTTTACAGGCAGGCTCCTTCACTTGCTTTTAAATTTGAAGGTAAAAATCACATTTAAGGACAAATTAACTATTTGCAGATTTAATAACATAAGCTAAAGCTGTTTTGTAAGGGATGGATGTCTTAATGCCAATCATTTTAAACAAGCTGATTGTACTGCCTTCCTCCTTGTTCTCCTCCGTTTATAAACTATGCAGCAAGCCTTGAGCAGGCAGCTGTTCCAGAAAGTTTGTAGCACATCAGGGAAATGAGGGGGGGTTTCTGCTTCTGTTTCCTGGGAGAAAATGCTGAAGTCAGTTTCAAATTGCATTGCTGTTTTGTTTGCCAGCTTTATGCTCCTAATGTATTTTTTTCACACAGTTGCTTCTCTTTCATTCTAAAGGAGTAGGACTGTCAATGTGCTATAATCTGTCAGAATCGAGTAAAAATGGTGTTCCTAAAAATAGCATCAGCAGGTTAGGACATACTTAAAATATATATGTATCATTTTCACCGTTTCCTTCTAGTGTTCTGCTTTGCAAGACGGTGAAAGGTTGGTTAAAAACTTTGTTTTCACAGTGTAGCAAAATAAATATTAGGAGGGAAAGTATCAATTTTATCTGTCTGGTGTGAGCGCAGGCCTGGGAATCTGAAACTAATAAATCCAGGCTCCTCATCTGAGACAGGATTGTTTAAAGAAACTTCTCTGCTCCGTTTATCCATCTACAGACTGGACACAACTAGTAATTACCTGTCTTAGAGCAGTAGCTAGGAATCATTTCACATTCATAAACCTCTTTGAAATTGTAACTTTTCCTGCCTTATGTTTGGGATCCAGGAAGAACTATGTAACAATGACTTGATTTTTTTTTAAGGACAAGTGAAAATAAGCCTAACGCTTCCATATCTGTGGCATTGTAGTGTCATGTCTGGGTGGTGTGTGTTAATATTTCAAGCTTATCTTCAGACTCTTGCAGTGAGAGATCTATTTTGTCATGACTTTGGTTGAACTTAAACAGTTTACATAGTTGAGGCTCAGGACTTTGTGAAATGAGATTTGATGCCCAAATAACTTTATCTGTGGCTTTTGTGCAAGGTAAATAAGTCTTTTTCAGGACAGAATTGTGCTAGGAGTTGCTTTGTTTTTGAATTGAACAAGGTGATTCACAGGGAGTTTGGGGTTTGATCCTGCAGGACTTTCTCATGAAAGTAGTCCTGGTTTTGGGAGGTATTTCCTGAATTAATTTTCTGGGCTCAGGTGCCCAGTCAGTCTGTCCATTTTTCTGTGTATTCTTTATCTCTCAGAGCAAAATTCAGGCAGTTTCAGGGTCTGGCTCTGTTGCCTTTGAAGCTGATGACAGATTTCTTACAGACTGCAAAATAAGTAGGATTAAGTTTTTGTAGTAATGAAAAATTCAATATTAAGAAACTGGGTCTTTGTAGACTTTAGGAATGAAAAGGCTGAGACTCAGTAATGCTATATGGGACAGTTTGCTTCTCTGGCTTTATTCTTCGAAGGATGCCACTGAGTTCTTAAACCAGGGGGAAAAAAGGATTAATTGGTGTCTGTTTGGAAAGAAAACATTAACAGTTTTGTCCCCAGCATTGCCATGCATTGTGTTTGCATTTGTAGCAGGCAGTTCTCATGAGCAAGGTGTGTAGGGAGGGCTTTCTGAAGTGGCTCTGGGTGTTGGCAGAGGCTTCTCCCTTGGGTGAGAGTTTCACTTCTCAAATCTGCAAGCTTTGCTTGGCACTTTGGAGAGGAGGGAAACGGCTGCGCTCCAGAGAGCATGGTAAAGAGCAGAGCTGCCAAGGAGGCTGAGAAGAGGAAAAAGGATTTAGAAACCTCCTTGTCTTGGCTGGAGAAGGGAGTGTCTGACTTCACTTGCCCAGCAGATTATTTTAAAATGATCCCTGCGAGCTCTGAGGTGATAACTGCTCCTCTCTTGCATGGATGGAGTGGGGGCAGGGTCATGTGAATGTCAGGAATGTGTATTTTTACATGAATTGTGATCTTTCTGTTTAATCAACTCTTGCATTGTGCTCTGTGCAGGTGAAACCCGCATGAGGTTCTATGAACTGCTGGTTAATGGTCTTTACACTCCTCAGACCCTCCCTGTAGGCACTGAACAGGACGTGTCCCCAACTGGGAACGAAGCTCTCCAGGTAGGTGTGCTTGGCTTTTCTTAAAGAAAAACTTCCTAGAAAATCTCAAACATTAACATTAGCATTTTAACATGTTTAATTTATCTGTATTTGTCTTGCTGTAGTTCCAATGGATGTTACTAATTCTCATTTAAATAGAACTTGCTCATAATTGCCATAGCAAATGTACCTCTGGATGTGGAGCACGTGGCTGGTGTGTGCCTGCTTTGCACAGAAAATGCTTTTTGTCTTCGTGCCCTATTAACATGAGAAATTCCTGCAGTTAGGAGTGGATCAGATCTGTCCCTGAGATGAGCTTTTCCCTTGAAGTCAGGGGAATGATTTACAGTGGTACATTTGGCCTGGCGTCTGCGGCGTGCAATCCTCAGCACGCACGGGCTTCAGCCTTGCTTAAAGGCTGAGGGCTGCAAGGTGGCTGAGCTTCAACAGTGGCATCACTTTTCCAGAATCTTAATTAGTTGCTGGAATCAGCTTTTAATAAAAGCAGTGGACAGAATTCCTGCGGGCTTCCAGGGGTCCCTTGATATTTAGGGCACAATTCTCTGTGGCTTTGCATGATTACCTGCTTCCCTGTAACCACACTGGGATGAGAGGGCCAGGGGGAAGGGAAGCCTGTTCGTGTGAAGTTACCAGCCTCTTTGGCTTGTCTGAATGTACTTTGGCTCCTCATTGTGACTTGGGAACTGATTGTAAGACATCAAATTTGAAAGAGATTTGGAAAAGATTTTTTTTTCCTTTTCTCTACTCATACAACTTCTTAAAATGCCATGATTTCATTAATTGTGTGATTAAGTGTTCTCAGGACAGGTAACAGCTGTACATTGAACATGAAATCCCATTGATCTGAAGAAAAAAAAGTTTCCTCCCACCAAAGCATCCCAACAGCAGCAAGGCAAAACCCCAGTGTGCTTTTAACAAAATCATGAAAGAGGTTGGTTCTTCCTTGCCTCCCAGCAAGGTGCTTTTAAAGGCAGGAGGGAGACAGGTAATGATTTTGCTGGGAGCCCTGCTATGAGTAGACCCTGACTGCTCATTTCTGCTGCTTCCACATCTCAAATAAAAATTGGCAGATTTGTTCTTACTCTTTTTTTTAGAGTTAACAGCAAAACACTTAATTGATGGTATCACCCAAAGCAGTCCCTGCTGTAATTATCCTTAAGATTCTTTCCCTAGATATTGTGTTCATGTGTTATATTATTGTCCTGAATTGATTTTTTTCCCAATTACCACCAGAATTATTGCTTTGTGAATAACTTTTAACTGTTTGCATCATGGTTTTGACACTAGGATGTGCCAACAAACTTGTTTGCTGTTGTAGTTCAGTAAATTACTCCTGACATGTGCTCCTCCTCTCATACAGAGCAGCAAAGATCTGAAAGTTCTGCAGTCCCTGCCTCCAGGCCATACACAAACCCCACTGAAAAACACTCCACAGCCCATCTACACTAAAGGTGCAGCAGTGTGGATGTTGTTAAGAACCAGCCACGTGCTTCCTGCTCCTTTCTGTAGCTTTTAGGACAGTTGAGGAAGAAACTTTTTCTTGATGTCTCTCTGGTCATGGTGTCCAGGGGGTCAAACTGAGAGCAAGTCCACACTGCTGAGTGGGTGAGATGTGTGAACACAGCAGGCAGGTGAGAGTTCAGCTCGAGTTTGATGGTGCTGGCATCTTCCAAGCAGGTCAATTTACACATCTCTGCCTTCCTGTGCTTCAGAGGTCTCACTGGTTGACTGTCCTGGTGTACTTTTAGGCAGCTGGAGCTCAGTCCATCCTCTCTTGCTACCAGGAAGATTCTTACTGAGCTCCTGCTTTGCATTATGGAAAATTGATTCTGGAGCTGAAGATAAGTGTGGCACTGTTATGACTCAGCAGAGTCTGAGCTGGAGCAGGGCTGCTCCTAGAAACCCCCTGAACGTGCCTGTGAAGTGAGTTACAGAGCAAGGACTTGGCTGCTCTGTAGGTTTGTAGGGTTTCAGTTTCAAACACCATAATCAGTAGCACTCTGAGCATTTGACTTTGTGAGAAGCTTTAAAATGGTGTTGTTCTGGCAGTTGAGAACTTTTTGTATGTTACAGATGAGTGGTAGGGAGGATGGTGGGCCAGCTCTGCTGCACAGCTTTGGCTGCAGGCTGGCAGTTCACTCATTTGCATGTTTTGATTTGTTCACCAAAAAACCCAAAAATTGACAATTTCACGTCTCAGACTTTCCTTATTTTCATCCCTGTTTGCAGGGGTGATGCTTACACAAGCATTACATAGTTGCTAGAAGCTGGAACTCTTCCAGCTGAAAGTGGTGTGGAAGTCTCCTGTTCACCTGATGCTCTTGGGGATAGCTTACAAGGAAAACTTGTATCTGCTTTCTTCTTCCTCCCCTTGAAGACAAGTTACTCTTTCCTGACTTTTTCTTTTAAATCAAAGAGGACTGTTAGCAATGCATAATGGTTTGTGTTTTCAGGGATGCTGTAACCTATTTATTTTCTTGCCTTGGAAATCAGCATGAACTCTTGGGTGCTCAACTCCTCTGAAAAGCAAACAGATTGGACAGATATGGTTATAGAAGCGTGTGTTGAGGTGCTTTTCTGTGGTGTTGTTGCAGCTGACGGACTCCCTGAAGCGCCTGAAGGACAGCTCCCTCTCCTCCGCGGGATCCTCCGTCACCCCCAACAGCAGCACGCCCTTTTCCCATGACACCGCCTATTCCAGCTGCCGGCAGGACACCCCAAACTCCTACAGCCAATTCACCCCCCAGTCCCAAGGAACGCCCCACACCCCGCGCCTGGGGACGCCCTTCTCCCAGGACTCCACCTACTCCAGCCGACAGACCACCCCTGTGTACCACTTTGGGCAGGACAGTGCCTACAAACCCCGGAGGCACGAGACCAAGTTCACGGACGCGTACAACCGGCGCCCCGGGCACCACTACATGCACAACTCGGCAGGGGTGTTCCGAGGCACGGAGCATCAGTTCAGTACCTTCAAATCCCATCAGCAGGAGCCTGTTCAGTTCTCTCACACTCCTCCCCTGAGCCACTCTAGTTCTTCGAGCTATAAATCTGCCTTCTCCCCGTATCAAGCACCAGCTGTTTTTCCCCAGTCCGAGGAGCAGCAGCCGTTTCCCCAGACTTCCAGGGAGACAGAGTACAGGAGACCTGCACCGCCTCCCACAGAGATGGTGGTGGAAAGCAGCGCTGCCCCCAGCATCGATTTTGTCCCAGTGAAGGAGAAACCGGAGGAGCCTCCGCCTTTGCCCGACTCGAACTCTGTTCCTGAACCAAGCACAGCGTCCTTCTCTCAGACTCCAGAGAGGAGTGAGACTCCTGGCACCCCCACCATGGAGACTGAGATGCAGCATAACAGTTTAGACTCAAGGATTGAGATGCTCTTAAAAGAGCAGAGAACAAAATTACCCTTTCTTAACGAGCATGACTCAGATAATGAGATCAGAATGGAAGGTAGCCCTATTTCCTCCTCTTCTTCCCAGCTCTCCCCCATCCCAACGTACGGTTCGAACTCTCAGCCCGGTTTCAGGGGTCAGACGCCTTCCTCGCGCCCGTCCAGCACAGGCCTGGAGGACATCAGCCCCACACCCTTACCTGACTCTGATGATGATGAGCCCATCCCTGGGACAGCTTCTCTGAGTCAGAATTCCCGGGGGACATCGGAGGCCAGCATGACTCCCATTGATCAGCTGAGCAGGACCTCCAAAACCGAGACCTTGGAGGCTAAAGAAATGGTGCCTGGTGACCAGACTCCAACGTCAGAAAAAATGGATGAGGTAAGTGAGCTGGAACTGAGTTGTGAGGCTTTGCATGTATCCCCAGAGCTGGACAGGGTGGGGAATTGCACTTGTCTTCGTGTCGTCAGAGCGTGGGGTTTCTGGTGGCTTTTCCTTTTACTCGAGCCAGCTGGAAATGAGTTAGATGTGACACAAAGTAATGGTCTTAATCAATTTGCAGTCTCCAGCTTTCCTTATTTATAATAGCAGCCTGCTGCAATTTATAGCTTCAGGAGAGCTCAAGGACTGCACAAGCCACCAAAGTTTGGCCAGTGCTCAGGCTGTGTGAACATCCTGAGTGTTGACAGACACTTTGAGCCACTAGAGGAGTTAATGGAGCACTTTCTGCCATTGCTGTGGTCCCTGAGCAGGGGTGTGTATGCAGGCACACACTTGCTTAGCAGGGCTTTCATGTTGCACTGAAGTATTGAGTGTATAGGGTGTTTGAAAGCTCTCCAGCTATTCCTGCCATCTGCTTCCAACGGGAGACAGTTGCTGGGTTTTAATACTCACTTTGCTCAGGAGAGAGGGAGTATATGAAAGGGGGAGGCAGTTGACTTGTGGGGGATGTGCTCCACTGAGTTTTCCAATAATAGAACAGAGCTTGTTGCCTCTGCTGGGGCATTTGTGGCAGAAGGGGGAGACAGAGCTGAACTGGTGCCAGCAGACAGGAATTATGTTGCATGGTGTGTCTGTTTGGGAGGTCTGTTGCAACAAATGTGAGTATCACTGCAGTGGATGTGTTGGTCCTATTGTGCTGTGTCAAGGAATAGTCAAAATACAGATCTTTGCAAATGCCAGACCTTTCTCCTCAGTGTTTATAATGGTCATGCAGGCAGATGAAAGTGCTGTCCCTGGTGTGCAAGAATGCTGCGGTCAAGAGGGCTGGTCTTGTGTAAATGTCCCGAGTACGGTAGATAAATTTAATTTACCCATGAAAGTTTATTGGGGTTAAGCTGGCAGAATGGGTTTCCCTCCAGTGGATTGCAGTTGTGAGCTTTTCACCAGAGAAGCGGCTGCATTCGGGAGAGGAGGAGCTGCTCCCGCAGCCGTGGGCTTTGCAGGATGCTTCCCTGGAGGGAAAGCTCTGCAGCAGCAACACAGTGTCGGTCTGGGTGCTAAATACTGAAAACAGTGTGACTGTGCGCTGGATATTTTGTTTTTGTTGCATGCCTTTCCAAACCTGCTTGTCCTTGCAGTTGCCAGTTTAGCCTTTGAAACAGTTCAGCTGCTTGAGCTCTCATTCATCATCCAGGCTGGCCCAGGCTCCCCTCCTGGGAGGCGAGTCCCTGGCTGGTGGGGCTGATGATGTGTTAATTAGGAATGGAGTTTTGATTCCTTAAGCTCCGGTCTGGCAGGCCTAAGAGGGGCCACTGTTAGTTTGACTGCAAACCAGTGAGGAAGACATCCCTCATCTCCTTGCCTTTCTGGGTTTGTATCTGCTGTCCCTGCACTCGTGCCAGGGGGTTGCAGCCAATTCTGAGTGTGTTTAGGAAGATGGGTAGGGGCCAGCTTGGTGTGTGGGGTCAGGCACTTCTGTAGCTGACCCTGGGTTTGGGGGACTGGCTGGGATGGGATATTGTAGGTTGTGATATGGGGCAGTAGCGTGCTGATGTTGAAGCCCTGGTTAAATCTTTGTTTCCCCTTAGTGAGATGCTGGTGTCAGAAGTTCACATTGATGGGTCTGTGATACAAAATTATGTAAGTGCCTCAATCCTCTGCAGAAGTCAGAAGGGTGGTAGCAGGGTCTCCATGCAGGTCATTGCTGCTTTATTTGTCTCCTTCCCCCCAAAAAGTTGATGTTTGTTGTTGGAGCTGTTTATTCAGACTTCCTCTTGGTTACAAATCACACTGAGCTATTATGACATGTTTGAAAAGTTGCCTGAGCCTTTCATTGCTCCTTGTGATGCAGAAAAAACCATCTCCATGTGTTTTTGCTTCCTTTCCCCACCCTTCTCCCCACACAGTTTTTTGCTTTAGAAAAAGGCTCTTCTGGCTTCTCTCTCTTTTGCTGAAGGAGCAGAGCTGAACAGTGACTTAACATAGGCTGAAATTTGAGCTGCAGCTTTCCAACTGAGTTAGAGAGGGGCATTGAGTCTGTGTAAGGGCTGGAAAGCTGAACCTCCAGCTTCAGCCTATTGTGATACCACTGTTCTACCCCAGTCCTTCACAGAGTCCTCCAGTGAAACAGAGGAAAGGCAGACACAAATATTTCTTGTGGCTGTGTGGCTTGGGGAGCAGAGCAGGCGTGATATCTTGGTGCAGGGAAGGCTCATTAACTGTCATAAGGAAGCAATAAAAGGCAGAGAGTTTGAACTTATTTACTTAATATTTGCCCCTTCAAGGGTCAGAGCAGCCCCAGGCCAGTTCTCTTTGGGTGGGTGCTCTGGTTGGGAGAATCACAGGATTCATGAGGATGCCAGCAAAGTCACAAGGAAGTTTTTACTGAGGTGATCAGTGCTTTTGAAGGACCTCCTCCTGTTTCCCATCAAAACAAGCACGATTTTTGTCAATGATTGCTGATACAGTAACATCTGCTCTGTAGGTGAAGTGCTGTCAAATCATCAGGCAGATTAGCCCCCCCAGACTCACCATAAGTAAAGGAGGTACAGCCAAGGCCAGCAAATGCTCTGATTTATCATGCAAGACCCTGGAGTTTGATTTCAAGATCCTGTGTGATACTCCTAAGCCAGAGTTTGGCAGGGATTTTGGGTGTGGGAGAGGAAGGGCTCTGCATCTGTCTGCAACACCTAACCCAGCTAATCTCAGAGCAGTGATTAAAGTCTGCAGAGAAAGTCCAGCTAAGCTTAGCCAAGGGGCCAGGCTGAGAGGCGGAACAGTGGGATTTGGGCAGTATGAGGTAAGGGAAGGAGAAGGATCCTTTCCAAAAAGAACAACCTGCCAGGCAGGAAGGCAGGGCAGAGTGGGCTTTTTCAAAAAACTAGAAGATGGCAAAGAAAAAAAAAGCTGAGCTGCATTGTTATATGAGGGAAATTTTTGAAGGAGCAATGTACAAACTTTCCTTCCTATGTGCTTGAGAAGATAAAAAGGAAAGAATTGTAATAATTTCTTTTCACAGGGTTTTTGCTGTTTCGGAAGTGCAAAGGTTAAGTACGTACAGTTTGACGTTTTGACATCCCATCTGAGCCAGGTCTTGTTTTGGCTTGGCTTGTGGCAGGAAGAGGCCCTGCCTTTGTGCTGGGGAGGGTGACAGGATTGCAGCCAGTCACTTTGTTGTGTATTGATGATGCCTTTCATGTTTCAGCTTATGAATGTATCAGTTTGTGTGTACAGCCAGTGTGTAATAGGTATTTTCCCAGATTTATAAGTACAAAAGCACTTTTTAATTGAGGGATCAGCAGAATCCTGTCCTCCTTGTAGTTTGGCTAAGCACTGAGTTACGGAGGGACGCCTAAAAAATGCCAAAGATCATCATAAAAATAAAGATCCTGAAGCGTGAATGAGGTGAGAGCAGTTCTCCTGCTGTTTGCTGGGAATTTTAGCAAATGAGTTGAGGTGTGGACTGGAAGTTACACAGTGCTCAACAGCCCTAGAGACCCTGAAAGCCACTGCTGTCAGCAGCTGTTGGGAGTGCTTTGAGTGCTGTGCTGGATGTTCCTCTTGCAGGACAGCAGCAGCATCCCTGGGACAAGCTGTGTGCATGCAGGGGGTGCTCTCACAGCTGCCCAGGGAGGATTTCCCAGCTGTGCTCACACACAGACAAGGTGGGTCAGGCTCAGCCCTACAAGAGGCTCTGCTGAAGTCCCTGAGGTTACATCTGGGCTGAATTTGTCCTTTGTATTGAAGCATCTTTAGGTTCTTGTGTGGTCACAGCCAGAACTGGAAGAAATTTTTGTTGAAGTGTCATATTGTCCCTGTGGAGCCTTTGCAGGATGTGATGACATTCCCCTGAAGACACTGCCTCGTGTCTTGTGTGGCTCCATGCTGCTGCATCCCCATCCACACTGGGCATTGTTTCAGTGCTGCTAAATGATTGCCCATTCCTGCAGAGCCAAATTCAGCCTTCAGTTGTTCACACTGTGGTGAGACAAAGCAGAGCCCAGGTGTTGGCCAGGCAGGGAGAGGAGCTGCTGAGGGTTTTGGTGCTAGCAGCACCTGCAGTGGTTGCCCCAGGGGTAGCTGATGCCCCTTGGAGCTGAGCTGGGCAGGAGCAAGTCCATCTGTGCCTGCAGGAGGATGTTCTTTCCTGTTCCCTGCTCCCACCCATGGATTGTGAGGGCTGGAGGCAGCCCCTGGGATGAATTACATGGAGCCTCCTAAAGGGGAACCCAATCTCGCTCTGCTGAGGGATGCTTCTGGGCTGAAGAGCTCAGAAGTGATTTATTCAAGGTAAATGCACATTAAGGTTGAGAAGGTAGATCCTTAAGAGCCAGGAAATTTGATACCTTCGTTTCCACAGTAACTGTGCAAGAGCCCTTGTGCCCATTGGTGGCTGTTAGTATATATAATATATATGGGTACACCTGGGATCCAGTTTACAGCTGGAGTGGGATTTATCATTTCTGGAGGGAGATGGGGAGAGTGGATGGGGGAAATGGTTGCTCTGAATGTAGCCTTTTAATTGAAGAAGGGAGAAAAACCTGAGAGCTGTGATTTATACCCAGTCTCATAAACACTTTTTCAAATTTTCCTGCCTCCTGAGCTCTTGCAAATGCGATCATGCCTGACAGAACCGGTTCCTAATGGAAACTCAAAAAATAGGTATCATGTTATGACCATGAATTTCCAGAAGTGCAGCCAGCCAATGCCCAGGCAGCAGAGATTTGGATGACTGCTGTGGTTTTACATGTGAATTACACCAGCCATGCTAAACCTGTGAAATTAAAATGAGAGTGAAGTGCTTAAGCTGTGGGTTCAGTTCTGCCCTCCCTGACCCACACACAGCAGCAGCGAGAAGCCACAGAGACTTCAGGGGATCTTGCGGAGTCTGAGCTTGTTCAGAAGAGAAAGGCAGCGCACAAATCCCTCAAAAGGTGATT